TACAGGTATCTTTTTCAATCAGTGTTTTTGTGTCTTTTGGGTAGATACCTAGGAGTGGGATTGCTGGGTCGTAGGGAAGCTCCATGTTTAGCAGCTTGAGGAACCTCCAAACAGTTTTCCATAGTGGTTGTACTAGTTTGCATTCCCACCAGCAGTTCAGGAGAGCTCCTTTTCCTCCACAGGGATAGCAATTTTTTTTTTGCCATATTTATGTAGCCTTGTTATGTTATAGACTGAGGAGAAAAGTTTTCTGTGGAGGACAGTACATCTAATGAATCTGGCCTCCGTATTAACCATTCTTGAATCATTTGGGATTGCTTTATTTGGGGAAGCAAATCTAAAGCAAGAGTGGCTCACTTGTGCTGGTATTTAACAAATCCTGAGGAAAAGATAAAAATTATTTTGTGCCACCCCCATGTTTATTGCTGCCTTATTTACAATAGGAAAGACTTGGAATCAACCCAAATACCCAAAAGTAGATGACTGGATTAAAAAGATATGGTACATATGCCGCAACATGGATAGAGCTGGAAGGGATCCTGCTTAGTGAAATAAGCCAGAAAGAGAAAGAAAAATACTGGATGGTTTCACTCATAGCAGGAGTGTAAAGGACCAGGGGAAAATAATAATAATAATGATAATAAACAGCTATGTACCAGAGATATTTCACGGGGATGGAGTGAGGAATAAAAAATGGGGTGGGGGGTGGAGAAGTGCACTGGACTATGGTGATGGCACATGGGTGATTTGGTGATGGGATGCCCACAGGGATTACAACTGAGATGGAAAAAGGCACAAAATTATGTAAAAATAATTAAAAGGAATTATTTTGTGCCAGAAAAAAGGGAACAGATCTTTGAGGTGAGCCTGCCACTTCCTATTCTCTCATTTTATAGATTTAAAAAAGAAAACCTCCACAATCAGCCTACACCATAGAAATTAAATAATTATCCAGAATCCCCACAGACATTATAGACCTGGGGTCTCAATTTCCTGAAAGGTATAGAAGTTAATGCAAAAGAGCTGAAGAAAGGAAAAAAGTTCCTTTGATTGGATCCAGGGAGCTCTCATTTCCTCCCACACCCCCAACAGGAGTTCTCTGTATACAGTGCTATTATATAAAGATGACCATCAAGTAGTCACAATTTTTTAAATAATTAAGTTAAATTGGCTTTTAGATGGGATTCTCTAGTTGGGCCCCAAAATTCTATGAGCCAGAGTTTAGCATTGCAGTCATTGAGTCTTCTGGGAGGCTGGAGTTTGGAGATTTTGTGAAACCTTTTTATCAAGAGCATTTGGTACATCGGTGTGTGATAACACTAAGTAAAATGGATGTTCAGGGACTTCCAAACACCTGATTTAATTCTAGGACCTGTCTTAATGAGTTCTGTGAACTTTGCCATACACTAACAACCTCTGCTGTTTACAATTCTAAATTTAAAAGCAGTTATTTAGCAACTGGCAAAAATCCCATTTGCCTTTAGCTTTCTCTAGCTAATTTGCAAGTAAGGCTAAAACTTGACAGTCTACCATTTCCCCCAGCACTCGCTGCATGACCAAGCACTAATTTGCTGCATTTCCCAAACTGGGAAATGTGCTCCTTTTGAATCTGAATTGCACCATGTATATATCTCTTTGTCTTGGTCGTCTGTGTTTTCACATCAAATGATTTAACGTAAAATGCACAGTTTCAAATCATCACCTTGTAAAAATTCTGTCTGATCTGTAGCCAGTTGAGTGAATAAGTCAAGAAATTGTAAGCCATTACTACTAGTAGGAATGAAATTTCATTTCTCTTCAACCATTCCTTTAATAAGAATATTTGCACCTGTCCAGTTAGATAATTGAATGAAGCATTTTAAGGACTACATTTATCATCTGGGAAGCAAACTTTAATAACAATGTATGTGAACAGCATAGCTCTCTGGAAGTTAGAA